AATCATCACAAATCATTACAAAGACGGGACACACAGCTGCCAAACCATTTATACCAAAGAAAACCTATGAGACATAGAAAATTAGCCATTATTTCACTCCCATAGTCCCATAATATCTTGATGATTGTTCATTATTGTGTGGGCGTTTCCCAGGACAGAGACCATATGGAGGGTCTCAGTGGGGGGTGTGAGACACTAAAGGGAGGGTGGCTGTTTACACAGGCGTCTTATGGGTCATCCGACATAAATCTGCATATGCTATTAGCATCAACAACTCACAACTTGCTGTAATGACTAATGAGAAGTCACTGTGGATGAGAGGAGAGAATCTCATCCTAAACCGAATGACCCACATTCCCAGAAGCCACATGCTCGATACTTTAAATGGGCGGTGTCAGCAAGATCAAAACAAGATGGAAGAGTGACGGTTTTTGTGAGTATCCAGAAACATCAAGTTGTTATTGAACAACATCAAAGACATATGTGACCCTGGACCACAAAACCAGTCTTAAGTCGCTGAGGTATGTTTGTAGCAATAGCCAAAAATACATTGTATGGGTCAAAATTTATTTATTTTTTTTCTTTTATGCCAAAAATCATTAGGACATTAGGTAAAGATCATGTTCCATGAATATATTTTGTAAATTTCCTACTGTAAATATATCAAAACTTAATTTTTGATTAGTAATATGCATTGCTAAGAACTTAATTTGGACAGCTTTAAAAGCGATTTTCTCAATACTTAGATTTTTTTTTGCACCCTCAGATTCAAGATGTTCAAATAGTTGTATCTCAGCCAAATATTGTCCTATCCTAACAAACCATACATCAATGGAAAGAACATTTATTCAGCTTTCAGATGTTGTATAAATCTAAATTTCGAAAAATTGACCCTTATGACTGGTTTTGTGGTCCAAGGTCACATATCATATCAGAGAATAATCACTATATTCTATCCATTAGTGTTTCCTGCACCGCTTGAATTTTCAGGGTCTTAGAAAAATAAATCAAATATTACCAGAGTTGTGAATGTGAGTTTATTGCCTCTATTGTATAAGATTTTTTTTTTTAAACTGGGTATCTCGAAATAATGTCAAGAAAGGTGTTTCTGTTGAGTTGTGGACTTCACATAAAAACAACATGCAACCACTGTAGCTTGATTCACAAACATAATTCATATGAGCTGGTTCTTTTTAGAGATTCAAAAACATACAGCACTACCAGTGTAGTCTGATTCACGAGCAAATCATTCTTATGAGCCGGTTCCATTTAGTGAATCAAAAACATACAGTGTAACCAGTGTAGCCTGATTCCTGAACAAATGATTCTTCATGAGCTGGTTCTTTAAAGTCATTCAAAAGCAGAAATCAGCAACAATGTACTCGGATTCCCAAACGAATGACTCTGGTTCTTTTGGTGATTCAAAAACAAACAGTGCAACCAGTGTAGTCTGATTCCTGAATGAATTACTCTTCGTGAGCTGGTTCTTTTTAGTAAATCAAAAGCATATACACCAGCAACAGTCTAAACTGAATTGTTATTATTATTTTTTTCCTTCATAATTAAATGCATTTAAAATCTGACAATTTTAGAATAAAAAAAAGATAAAGTTCATAGTAATAATTAATTGTGGAGGTCTATGTGTGTTAACGCTCTAATGTAATTTACATGTTATATAAATGCTATAGGTTATAATTTATAGCCTATAAAGAGAACAGTTTCATTCCATTTGTTTCTGGTTTGCTGTGTGTGACACTATGCAGTTTTCAGATTTATGTTTTGATTGTCAACACAGATGGGACTTAACTGTGTAAGGCTGCTTTTTCAGATTGCCTGTTGACGTGGACAATTCATATTTCATCCTCATCCCTGCACTAACCAGATAGACATATTATTTCCTTGCCTACAGGCCTTTCTTTGCATCAGCACTCATTCTCACAAACCCCCCAATTACCCTGCTGTAACCCCATCTGTGGCCATATCCTCCACAACACAGAAGCATTAATCATTCCATGAGGCCGATTCCTTTGTCTGTGGGTCAGCTTCAGATGCCAGTGCAAAGCCCTACGGCCCACATGGACCCAATTCAGGGCCATTTTTTGTCTGTAGTGAATGATTGTGAATCACTGGCTTGGTTGTGTCTCTGCGGCTGAGGCCACTTATCCACTGCTACAGCTCTGAATCAGACAGCTTTGGAGAGGGACAGTTTAATATGGTCCAAGTCTTCCAGTCTCATAGGGTTGGAAAGGTTTTGTCTGGTTATGATGATGAAAAACAAAAATTGTGTGTAAGCAGATCATCTGTGGAAAAGATTTAGACTGGCTTAAAGTAGACACAATATTTGTTTAAGGTGGTTTAATGCAATCCAGAATAAGCCTTGTTCCCGACCCCAATCAATAATGTTTGTTTTTGCACTTGGTTATGTAAAGGGACATTCAGACGGCATTAAATTGCCAACCCTCAAAGAAAATGAATGACTTCTGCTTGCTATGTTGCTGAAAATTGCTGTCAGTGTGACAGTTTAGCTTTATTTGACATGTTTAGCCATTGAAAAGACTTTTATTCAGCAAAGATGCATTAAAATGCAAAAAGACATTTACACTGTCACAAAAAAAAAAATCTATTTATAAAATATTTGATAAAGATATTCATAAATAAATGATGTTCTTCTTGAACTCAATACATCAAAGAATCCTGAAACAAAATGAGCAGTTTCCACAAAAATATTAAGCAGCACAACTGTTTGAACTGTTATAATAATAAAAACTATTTCTTGAGCACATTCAGCATATTAGACTGATTTCTGAAGGATGATGTGACACTGAAGACTGGAGTTATGGTTGATAAAATTATTTATTATATATTAATTATATATGGTTGATAAAATTATACATCTCTATCTTTTGCCTCTCATATTTCTTCTGTTGTTAAAACCTCTTTTTTCCATCTTCGTAATATTGCACGTCTTCGATCTTCTCTAACTCTAGCTGATGCTGAAATCTTAATTCATGCATTAATCACATCACGTCTGGATTATTGCAATGCTCTATTTCTTGGTCTGCCTACAAAACTTATTGCAAGGTTACAGTATGTTCAAAACTCAGCAGCAAGAGTTCTCACCTCCACCAGGCGTTCTGCTCACAT